CTGACATTAGCTGCTAAGCCAACCGCTGGCATTATACACACACAGGCCAGCGGTGTGTGCTCTGATGGAGCACTTTATTGAGACACACTCTCCTCTTCGCGCACGCAGGAAAGGTACCTCTGGCCTAGTATCGATATAAACACAGGGTCAAGGGGTCGGGTCATCACCCCTGTTGCCGGGGTTAAAGCAGACTTTAAAAGCAGTTGGCTCCAGCATATTAACCTACAGAGTGTGTGTGTGTGTAAGACACTTAGGAAAAACTTACAGAGCTCAGTGCTGTTAAATTAAGAGAGACAAATAAATGATCCATTTCAAATTCAGCAAATGATATTATTCAGCTAAATGTGACTGAAACGAGTGGATCGCCACACACGTGCACAATTAACATCACAAAGACTGTAATATACTTCAGGGCCTATAGTACCCCACAGACTATATTTAGCCCACCATCTCTTTTTGTTTCCATGGGAATGAAGAGTTCACCGTGAGCGGCTGCGGCCTCGGGTAGTTTCCAGAAGCAAAACGACAGAAAGGCTGCCTCCTGAACCATGGCTAGCTTTTCCACAGCCTGGTGGGTTTGTCAAGCGATCATTTCCACTCCGCCGAGCCCAAGCATCGCTAGGTCTGTGTTCAACCGCTGCCCTAGTTTTCCCTCTGTGCTGTCAGAGAAGACAGGCTTTCAGTTCAGTACATCTGGATAATGTTTTCGTTACATGTCCTGTGCTTGTCCCAGTATTTTTTTATTGATATGAACAGAGGGGCTTAGGAGTAAGTAACACATATAAAACAGAATACAAATCTGTAAAAGGTTTAACTTCAAAACTTAAAAGGTAGATTTTTATTTCTTGAAAAGGAAAAATGGGTAGACCTTGTGATTTTGGATACTTAAGGTTCAAGTTACAGAGTTTATTAACTTACCCTTTATTACATACTGCATGTGTGTGTCATGATTTTATATTCCAGTGGGGACTTTAATCTGAATGCACACTAACCAACGTACTTGCCACCGTGGTGACAAATATTAAAGGTCCCCCTGGGTAGAGACACTTTGAGGGTTAAGACGTGGTTTTACAGTTCAGGTTAAAGTTAGCCGCGTAGGGGCTAGGAAATGCTTTATGTCAATTAGATTTCCCCATGGGGATAGAGGGACGAATGTGTGTGTGTGTTCTGTGTTCCCTGTGTGCAATTATGATGTAAAAATTATATGTTCTCCCTCTGCCGGCTTCAGTGGACGTTTTGACCGTACCCAAATGAATAAGACTCGTACTGAGACCCCAACTCAACCTGAAGGCCAATGGTGTGTGTGTTACAGCATGAGAGTCTTACCTGAAGAGAGGCTATTAAATCTTAATTGTACGCAATACAAGCACAACATACAATTTAATTTATCAAATTGCTTCTGACTTGGTGAATGTAACGCAAGGATGGAGGATACACATGTGACAAAGTCCGTTAACACAACATATACAGTATTGAAATAAGATTAATTGGATTATATTCACAGGAAGTATTAAACATGTCACATGTGTCCATTAAAAGTAAAAAAATGTTAGGGAAATTACTTAAAATTATTCTTTGATTTACGGTTGCTGGAAAAACTTTTTTGCTGTTTCAGCACCATTTATATTTATTCAGTGTGTTTATGATCAAATGGTTTACTTGCTTTTAAAGTGCACTAAATGTATGCACTTAACTTTAAAATGTACAAGTGTTTCTTCCAGGGGGGCCCCCTGACCCACCTAGAGGGTCGATGTCCACTCACCACCGTCTCACAAAATCCTGTGGGAAACGCCCATCTTATAAGACACAACTACTCTGAATTAAATGGTACTGCCAAATTTGAGACACAAACAAAGACCAAAAGCTATATTTTTGATGTAGTTTAGCCATTATTTACAGCTAGCTTGCCCAAAGACAATAAACAAAAAGGTAACACTACAGAAGAAGCACTTCACACATGCACACATTAGCAAAACATCAACTACTGAAAACTGCTCGTTTCAGCTGTCTTGATCTTGAATCTGACATGCTGTACACAGGAGCCAATCAAAGTGGAGGCTGCACCGTGAGCAGTGACACCAATGCTGCTCTAAATCCAAGCTGAGTCCTACCTACATATCAACGGCCCACTTCCTGACTCCCCTGGGTGGAGGGGTGACCTTGCAGTGTGCTTTGCAATATGTATTCTCACTGCTGTGTTTCCTACACATAGACTTTAATTGGGCAGGCCATGCAGGTGTAGGAGGTGTAGGAGTAAAAGCATATATGGTAGAGAGTGAACTAGAAATAAAATGGTGAAATTTAAAATAAGCCACCAGAAATAGAAAATTGTGTTTTTAACACATAAAGCTCCCCACACCTCCAGGAAGCCGCCATTCTGTGGTAAACACTGCACTGTCAAAGTGCAACCAACCCAAGTTGTACTGCACATTCTCGAAGTGGTGACCTCGGGTATGGGGAGGCGGAGGCGGAGGCGCTAGCGAGGAGGCTTAAACCAACCTGTGGGCAATAGCATAGGTCCCTAGTGCGTCTCTTAAGGCGTCTGGGATTGAGGCCTAGCTGGCTACCGTCTCAAAAGAAGATTAACCACAGTTGCCCACAAAGTGATTGTGTGTACTTTCTCAAAGCACAGACTGCCTTCTGTCAGAAAGTTTTCATGATTGTTCTACTTGTAGTTCTGCTGCAGTTCAGTCACGTAAATATTCCTTGGAAGTGCGCTGCACCAGAAAGCCCTGCCTTTGGTGTGAGGCCAAAGTTTACAGCCACATAAAGCCTCTCTGATGGGATGGAGCTTCCTGTTTGGGATTTGTCATCATGCAGCAGCAGTGTTGGCAGTGACTCTGGGGTTTCCCTTCATTGAACGTGACCTTCAGTTCAGCCTGCTGCTCCGCGATCAGCACACCACTGTATCTATCTGGCTGTTTCTGTTGGCGTTTCGTGTCGCCACAATGTGCCTTCAGCGGTCTCCTCCATCTTTAGAAAAATGTTTACAAATAACTGAGCTAACAACTGCACACATTTGTGTTTAAGTCTGCACAGTCACCAAATTTCCACCATCGTTTCTCAGCATACTGTATCCTACAATTACTTTACTACGCTTAAATGAGGTCTGCTTGTGTATCATGCTTAAGAAAACCTTATTTTGCTTATGTTTGAGCATTTATGCTCAATGCATCTTGATGCCCCCCCCCATTCAGGATAATTTCCAAGCATTTTATTTGTACATTAAAATCCAAAAGACATGTCTCCTTATTAGCCTAAAAGGACTAGTTTGCATGCCTTATTTGCTTTACTAACCTCAGCTTCAGCTAGTTCTGTCTTCTGTGTTCTGTCAATATTATGTTATCAGTTAACATTTAGAAAATCGGTTTTTGACATTTGTGAACACATTTAGAATTGTCCAGAAGAATCAATTTTTTTAACCCACCCCAAGTTTACCTAAATTAGACAGTGTAGGTTTTTAATCTCAGCTTTGTTCAGAATTTTCGTCTTATTGCTTTTCTGAAAGTGATGTTTTGCTTAAAATCTTTGGCTGTTTGCAATTAACTTCCATTACTTTCCGAAAGGTGCCGACTTACAAACTGTTTTTTTAGCTTTAGTCTACCTCCTAGTAAGCAAGTGCCTTAATTGTGCGTTGATGACACACATGTGTTCTCATATCTCAGCCTCGAACGCGGAGAGTACAATGTAAATTTTATCACAAGGAACGATGGCTGGAACTATAAGTAATCTAACTAATAATCTGCTTCGAATGTACCTCTGTGGACTGCGACAGGAAAAATCCCACCGCACAAACTAAAAGACTATTTTTTTCCACTTGCTTTCTGAAAAGTTGGCTAGCACCACACACACACACACGCACACACCCCTTTCCATTTCACTCTCATTTTCTCCTTCAGGTAAGAGAGGCTCTGGCTCAGCTAAGGCATTGAGCCAAAGCAATATGAGTATGAAATCAATCAGACTCCCCTTCTATAAACACCTGCCCTCCTCTCTTCATCTCTCATGCTCTCCCCTCACCTCCTCTCACCATATGAGAGGACTGGTTATGCATGAATAGAGATACTGAGCCATCGAGAAAAAAAACAAAAAAAATATATATTTTTTTTTTTCCTCTTTACTTTTTGTTTCATTGTTTGTATGCTCTTTTTTTCAAAGCACTTGTACTCCTCCATATTGCTTTTCTTCATGCAGCTGTTAATGCTGTGAGGAAACCCCCTGCTTCCCCCATGAGACGCTACATCAGCTGCGGCTGTGCAGCTCCCCATCACCGTGCGCCTTTTCAGGCCCATCTCCTTTTGTTTGTGTGTTCCTGGGTTGTGCGCTCTCCCATGTGTCTTGCATAGGGATCAATAAGCGGCACCACATCCAGACCGCGGGAGCCTCAGCCCACGCCGCACAGATAATGATGGAGAGAATAAAAAAAAGGTGAGATGGGGAAAATAAAAGAATCCATGCCTCCGCTTCCTGGACACACGCTCCATTACAGGAGCAAGCACAAGAAAAAAAGGGCAGCGGGAGGAGAGAACAAGAGAAGGGAGTTTTCCCTGTTCTGCTTTCGCGCTGCCTTCACTGGCTTGTGTTTTAATGTGAAAGACAGCGCTGTGAGTCACATACAGCTCACCAGAAATCAGAGGCTGTGGTTGATATCAGAGAATGAGTCACAAAAAGGAGCTGCCGGCCTCCTTCATGCTGGTGCCACTTTGATGGGTTACAAAAATGGAAAGCAGCGGAACGCGTGAAAGCCGGAGTGGATCCAAAGCTGGAGGAGCAGGATGTGGTTAGCATGGCTGCTAGAATCTGAAACCTGACCACCTCACTCTAGTACAGATATGACGAGGAGCAAAATGGTGAAGGCGTGAGAAAACGTGCTTAGTCAAAACAAGAAGAGGAAGTTGGTTTGAGGGCTGACAGGGCTAAGAAAGTTACAGTTTTAAGAGAAGTTACTGTCCCAGAGAGACACGCTGCCACGGGAGCTACATTACAGAGCATGTACTCACCCCTGGCTGACAACTTCTTGGTATTGATTATTTTGGCGGCGTATTCCTGCCCTGTGGAAATCTTCATGCACCGTCTCACCACAGAGAAAGCACCCCTACAGAAGAGTGAGGGATCAGTCACTACATGGCAACATTTTCTAAAACATACACATTAGGGTTGGGCCGACAGACGATGCCAACGTCCATCGGCGATGGCTGACAGGCATCACAATGTTGAGCTGGCATCATGAGATCGCTCAACCCGAAAACACGTACAGCCATGAACAAAGACTTTTTATTAGCATTTAACAGAAAGGAGAACACTCAATAGTGAAATTGTGGATTACCTGAGTCACCTTATACATTGTCTGACACCCCTCAAAGACGCTTGTAATCAGTGTTTTAATGTATAGATTAGGGCTGAACAATTTTGTAATAATCTAATTGAGATTATTTTTGATTGATAATGCAATTGTGATATGATTTTCAATATTGAAGAGAATAATCATTTTTACATAATTATTCTCATTTTCATTGAACAAACAAACGAAAGGTGTTTTCTTAAGTCTGTGGAACATGATGTGTAGGCCAGAACATCTCTGCAGAACCACAATATTTCATTTAAAATGGCATTTTGACACACACACACACCCTTTAACAAATACTGCACCTCCTGCGATTAGAAAATTGCAGTAGGCCATGATGCAATTTCAGTAAGATTTGCGGCTTGTGTCTGTACTGTTCCACTGACTCCAACTGAGTTAGATGCAAGAGGGAAGCTTCCAGTCTGAAACGCGAAGCCAATGCGGAAGTCCAATAAACCTGCATTCTATTGAACGCCCAGCAGGGGGCAACTCTTCTGGTCCGGTTCCATTAGAACTTATGGTAAAATGTTTCTACTTCTCAGCTGATTTATTACCAATTTCCTAATGACTTTATGGTCTCAGTCGCTAGTTTCAAGTCTTCTTCAACACAGCATGAAGTTCATTTAGTAAAGTATGGTCCCATTTAGAGGACCATAAAGCAGAGTATGTTTCAGGCCGGGCTCATCTGTGATTAGCAAGTCGTTACCATGGCCACCGGTCAATCAGGCTAGAGAGACTCGTACCCTCTGCACTGTGTAAATTTAACCAGCGCCGTTGAAAAAGCTTATTAGGAGTCAGCTGTTCACTTTCTCTGATGAGTACATTTAGTTTTAAGACTGTTGTTTGCTAGACAAAATTATCAGCCGTGTTAAAATGACAGTTAGGGTGAAGTACAGATGCACCTAGCTAAGCAAGCTAGCTAGCTCCGCATACGGCTGTTAGCTCCGCCGTCTCGTCCAAATATGGTCACGTCTGATGCCGCTGGTTGCAAAAAAAACTAAACAAAAAAACAACATGGTGGCCAAACTCGAGGGTTCAAAACGGCAGTCCACAAACCAACGGGTGATGTCACGATGACTAACTCATCATAACAGTCCCAAAACATTGTAACAGCTCAAATGTGACCAGCCTCTAACAGGTGCAGCAGAGCTAACGATAGTGAGGGAGATGTCAATCAAGCACAGCAACACGGTCCTGAGGTCTTCAAAAGCAAAATAAGGGTCAACACCTGGGTTGTAGACCACGGCTGTGTAGGGGCTTCAATACCTCTCTGTGTTGTTGGCCACTGTAGATAATCCTGCAAAACAATTAGCTAGGAGGACTGTTTTATGGCAATATTGGATTTGTTGAGGTATGAAATAATCATATTGCCCTGCCCATAGGACCTCCCATAATATTCTGATATTGAAATAAAAAGAAGGTAGCTATTTGGTTTAATGAAACTATTTGAGTATATGAGTGCTTGGCAAATTCACTATTGATAAAAATTTTAAACACTTCCCTCTCTTCCTCCTGGAGACCCTGCTCACCTGCACCTCTCCTTCCTAAAGGCTTCCTTAAAATAGATGTTCATTCTAAAAAATCTGCAGCAGCAATAACAATCAAATAAATTACTCTGCACAAAGGCCAGGTACACATTAAATAAACCCTCAGGTAGCCTGCAGGGGAAGTCTTCACTGTTTGTGACTAAAACTTCCAAACCTGTTTTTTTTTTTTTTGGGGCAACAGTCCTGAAGAGAGTGGAGCGATAATGGATGTAAAGACTGGTATTTAATCAGTGCGCCAAATGACTCACAATCAGAGCAGAGTTTTCCTGCGCTTTATTTTTACAGCTGGCTGCCTAATCAGTTTGCTGGTTCACTACGAAAACAATTGACGTGACTCAACCTGCCGGCGAGCAGGAACGGAGAACCACACCTTCCCAAAGCGAACAGCGCGTTGAACATGGAGGCTACATGTAGAGTGTGTGTGCGCGCCCGCAGCGTGAACCACAGGCACCCCACTGAGGAATTTCAACCATTCGCATATTGCAAAAGAAAAGAAAAAAGACAAAAGGGGCGACACTTGTGCAAACACAGTCCACATTGCTCGGAAACCCGTTCAGTTTCGTATAAGGTTGCCATTATGTCCAGTAAGTCCAAAGGTGGACTGACCTGCGCTGTTCATGACACCGAATTCCAGCCAAATGTCCGCTTGTTTTTACTTGGCTGGTTTGTCGCCAGAGGCACACGCTCGCTGGAGCATGATTTAAAATTAGGGACAAATTATCATGTTCCACTTTTACATTCGGCACGCATTACAAGGCGCTCAGCAGTGTTTCTCTTAAAAGAGTTAACTTTTTCAATGCGCACGGCGGCACTTTTAAGACACTCTTTTAAGAGGGAGCTGGTGACGTCCTCCCCGCACGCGCTAAGATAACACTCCCATCAAGGTACTCGCAGGTAGGCAGAGGTCGCTCGCGGAGATTTCGGTCAGTCTAAAGAGAGTTAAAACGCAGGGCAGTTAAGCTTCACGTTCAAGGCACATTTCGATAAAAAAACGTTTTAAAAAGAGTTATAAAATGAAGAGAACTTACTTCCCCAGCTCCTCGTACAGCTGGTACTCATCGGTAAACCTGGTGCAGGTCGTTGAAGCCATGTTAAGGTGAGCACAGGAGATCAACTTGGGAAACTGAAAGCCTCGGTCGCTTATGCGCTCCACAAATCCGTTCCCGTTCTGTGTTGCGAAGTGCCACTTGTTTCGGAGGAGAAGAAGAACTTAGGAATGATGCAGCAGTGGCTCCTAGGTGTCTTTCACCGCCCGGTGTCGCTCCTCCCGGCTCCTGCTCGTAAACCCCGGATTCTCCTGGACCTGACAGAGACGTCGCGACCTGCTGTTGTGTTAAGTCTGATACAGACACTTGGATCCGTTGACCGCAGTCAAGAAAGACTTAATATAGAATATCACTCATCCGGTGGTGGTTTTCAAAATAAAACCCTAATTAAATCGTCTTGCTGTCATGTAAATGTAGAATGTAGGAAATATTAAAAGAGAAAACTTGAGCTTCCTTTGTTTTTTTGTGATACAGACCCTTGTAAAGCCCGCCATTGTGCAAAATACGTATGTTATGTTTGTTTAAAATAGTTTTTTATTATTAATTAAAAATAGAGCAAAACTAAGGAAATAATTATGTGTTGCCCACAGGAAACTATCAGGACCACCTGACAGAAGATTATTCAACTTTTTTCAGTCATGGGTTTTAATCTAGGAATTTTCCCTTTATTTCAGTTTAGGCCATGGACATTGGAAATTTTTTTGTTTGTTTGTTTAATCATAGTTTTCATCATGAGCCTTTAAGTGCTGATCACGTGGGTAATATATTTATAATCTGCTCTTGCTGACATTAGATAGCCTACACAAGTTCAGTATCTTTATTTTCAAGTCGAAACATTCAGGAAGAAGCCTGCATTCCTTATTTCTTACTTTTTCACACCTGTCAAAGTAGAAAGCACATGAGCAGACAGAAAACGTATTTTATTGTCTTGATTAATTTTCTTTCCTGTTGTAAATGTAAGAATACGTCTTCAAATAAAATGTATAATCAAGTGGATGATAAAATAGATGGTTTTAACCCTTGAAAGTGCACCTTTAGCTTATACACTGCTATAAATAATTACATTTTATTTTTAATTGTTATTGTACTTGTTCACTGAATGATGACCAATGTCATTTCTTTCAATGTGGTATTGTATTTTATTTTGGAGGTAAAACAACTTAACATCCGTTTTTGTCTTAGTGTGCGGTGTGTAACTTGACAAAGCTCACTCTCGCCTCAACGCTTCCTCGTTGAAAGCGCTACACAGGGGCTCCATCTAGAGGCAGCGGGGTTGACCTGCGACCATGCATCTGGAGTTGGGACTGAGACTGCGGTGCGTCTCAGGAGCCTCTCAAAACCACATTTCCATGAACACAAGCTCCCACCACAGACTGCTGTATTTGGTTTTGTTGATGTGATTCACACCACGCAGAAAAGTCAGAAAAGGTTGTCTGATTGAGAAAAATAAATATTTTTCTTGATTGTTCTCCTGCAATAATCCCAACAGATGCAACTATTGTCAAGGAAAGTTAACAGGAAGGTTCAAATCAAGGGCAACTTGATTTGAACCTTCCTGTTACTGTCTGGTGTGACAACATGCATGTGATGGCAATTAACAGGACTGTAAATAGAAATGCCCAGTGTTTGGCAAATCACTCAGCGGTATATTCACAAGCCTACTATTGACATAAAACATGATAGTACATTATCTCTTTCAATAACATAAAGATTTGGTATCGTTATCATGTTGGCGTGCTGATTCTGGCCCTGGTATTACTTGGTATCTGATCTGATTTAAACGTCATCTTCCCTAGTCTTCATCAGCAGAGGGAGTTTAAGGCGTAAAACTCGGGTCTCATTTCACCTAAGCATAGAACCTTGGTCACACATAACAGGTATGAGGTTGAGATGGTGACCTCTCAGCAATACCCATATCCATTTTGCTTATTACTAATTCTAAGCGAGCTTTGAGTCTGCTATGGAGCTGTTTGCAGGTGGAAAACAACACACTGTGGGTGGTTGTAGACAGTCCAGAAAGATTTGATAATGTCTGATGTCCCAGCTGCCCATCGACTGAACAGACGTCATGTCCAGTCATGTTTCCAAGGTCAAATGAACTTTCATGCATCACTTTAACCTGAGCTGTGGAATGTACATGCTTAGATGGAGAGCTTGAAGGCAACAGACTACTTCCTGGGGACACCCTTACTATAGTATATTAGGTCAGACATTACCAGCAAGCTAATGGCTAATCAAAGTAACTAGGTCGTGGCATTTCTAAAAGAAAAACAGATTTAATTTCTGCCGCCCTTTGGCAAACACACTGAACCATCTTTATTAAGCAAATAAACCTCTTAAAAAGCACAAAATCAAAAGAAACCCTCAAGAAATCCCAAATCTTCCCGTCTTATGACCATGAGCAGGTTCACCTCGCACACCTACTGTTAACTGGAGCTCCATTAATCCCTGTTCATCCTATAATCTGATCTAATCCACCAGTGAGGAGGTGGTGTGTAAAACACACTGTTGGTTGCTTCCTGTTGAGTGTTAGGGATTGTGTGGGGGTGTGTGTGTTCACCATCAACACCATCATTAGTTCACTAACACTGAAATGCAGTGTGAGTGTAAGTGTGTGTGTGTGTGTTTCATGTTTTTATATCCCAGTGGGGACCATAATGATACTGATATAGATAGCAATTGTAAGTCGCTTTGGATAAAAAGCATCAGCTAAACGACTAAATGTTATGCATGCAGTTGTGATGGTTAAGTTTAGGGTGAGGGGCTAGGAAGGGTTAGGGGTTTGGGGAACAGAAATGTGTGTGTCTCTGTGCGTGCGTGTGTTCTCCATCAACACCATCATTAGTTCACCAACACTGATGAAATGCAGCGTGAGTGTGTGGTGAGCGGCCGAGAGATCACTACTGTAAACAGTCCTCTGCTCATTAGAGCGTTTTCACTGAGTGGCTGCATGGCAGGGAGAAAACACAAAATGGTCACGATCCTGCTCTGATTCTGTTTTTATACCTTGTGTCATGTTTGGCCAACTCTGTATTAGCTGTATTGATTCTTGTTTTGGGTCTAGTCTGCTCTGTGTTTAGTCTCTACCTGTTTTGGGGTTGGTTCTTTGGTCTGTTCTGTATCAGTTATTTGGTGTGCTTTGTCTGTTCTGTGTTTTGCTTTCTGGTTTGGTTTGGTTGCTGACGCCTTGTGTTCAGTTTCCCTGTTTGCTGTGTTGTTTTGTTTGGACTTGTCTGATGTTGGTTTGTGCCTGATCTTAGTTTGTTCCCTTTGCCTGTTTTCTTGTATATTTGACTATGGCCTGTCTGTGTTCTGCGTGTTCCCCTGTCATCACCCTGCTTCCCTGTGTCTGTGTGCTGCTTTGATTGGTATCACCTGTTTGTGCTCCCGCCCTCGTCATTAGCCCGTGCTTCAATGTTTGTCATTGCTGTTCTGTATGTTGTTCGTCTCCTTGTCAGGTGTTTCTGCCTGTTTCCCCGTCACTTCCCGTTCCCCCTACTCAAGAAATATTACATGCTGGACTCATTTGGATTGTTGCTTTTGTTCACCTAGTTTGGATTACCTTAGTGAATTTCTTGGTTTGTTTGTGTTGGACTGCCTCATTTTGAGTGCCTGGACTTACAAGTAAGTTGCTCTTTATGTTTCATCAATATATATCTTTAGGATCATCCTGCTGAGTACAAGCCCTGCAGTTGGGTCCAAAAACCTGTATTTGCCTGAATAACCCTGACAAAAACTAAGATGTCTATATTCATCTGCATCACCTCCATCACCATGACGATGAGCTATTTATATTGTAGGAGTAATAGTGAGCCTAAAACATGCCCTATGCTCCCCTCTAGTGACGATTTGTATCTCCTGTTAAAGGAGTGTAATATTTAGGAGGATCTATTGACAGGAATGCAATGTTATTTCCATAATGTTCCTGGTGATGGGGCAGTGGATAAGATACCTGCCTTTGGTGTGAGAGACCCAAGTTCAATCCCCCACTGTGACACATCTACCATTGTGTCCTGAGCAAGACACTTAACCCCTAGTTGCTCCAGAGGTGTGTGACCTCTGACATAATTAGCAATGTAAGTCACTTTGGATAAAAGCATCAACTATAATGAACTGTTATGTTTATGTTTTCATCTCAGAAAATTAGAGTATATATATATGTGTGTGTGTGTGTGTGTGTGTGTGTTCATTTATTTCAGTAATTCAACTTAAAAGGTGAAACTAATATATTATATAGACTCATTACATGCAAAGTGAGATATTTCAAGCCTTTATTTGATATAATTTTGATGATTATTGTGTACAGCTTATGAAAACCCCAAATTCCAAATCTCAGAAAATTAGAATATTGTGAAAAGGTTCAGTATTGTAGGCTCAAAGTGTCACACTCTAATCAGCTAATTAATCCAAAACACATGCAAAGGGTTCCCGAGCCTTTAATTGGTCTCTCAGTCTGGTTCAGTGAAATTCACAATCATGGGGAAGACTGCTGACCTGACAGTTGTGCAGAAAACCATCATTGACACCCTCCACAAGGAGGGAAAGCCTCAAAAGGTAATTGCAAAAGAAGTTGGATGCTCTCAAAGTGCTGTATCAAGGCACATTAATAGAAAGTTAAGTGGAAGGGAAAAGTGTGGAAGAAAAAGGTGCACAAGCAGCAGGGATGACCGTAGCCTGGAGAGGATTGTCAGGAAAAGGCCATTCAAATGTGCAGGGGAGCTTCACAAGGAGTGGACTGAGGCTGGAGTTACTGCATCAAGAGCCACCACACACAGACGGGTCCTGGACATGGGCTTCAAATCAAGCCGCTCCTGAACAACAAACAGCGTCAGAAGCGTCTTACCTGGACTACAGGGAAAAAAAGAACTGGTCTGTTTCTCAGTGGTCCAAAGTCCTCTTTGCTGATGAGAGCAAATTTTGCATCTCATTTGGAAACCAAGGTCCCAGAGTCTGGAGGAAGAATGGAGAGGCACACAATCCAAGATGCTTGAAGTCCAGTGTGAAGTTTCCACAGTCTGTGTTGGTTTAGGGAGCCATGTCATCTGCTGGTGTTGGTCCACTGTGCTTAAAGTCCAGAGTCAGCGCAGCCGTCTACCAGGACATTTTAGAGCACTTTATGCTTCCTTCAGCAGACGAGCTTTATGGAGATGCTGACTTCATTTTCCAGCAGGACTTGGCACCTGCCCGCACTGCCAAAAGTACCAAAACCTGCTTCAGTGACCATGGGATTACTGTGCTTTTCAGAGGGCTGACATTTCTGTATTCAAAATCTCTTTTTTTTTTTTGATTTCATGTAATATTTTGAATTTGGGGTTTTCATAA